ACAAAATAAGGATGGGCACTTTATTGATCAAGGGTGCCTAACTTATATATTTCTGAATCTAAATTGTAGGTTCATATGTCAGTGTCATGAAATTGAATCCTGATAGTTGTAGCATAGGAGTAGGGCAGAATCATTTTCTGACTTTTCCGTTGCTATAGGGCAGTGTTCGCCTAAATAGTTTAAACGGCCAGTAAACGGTAAACGGTGGTAAACTGTCTTATTTAGGGGGTAAACGGAAATTAAACGGATGACCGTTTAAACGGTCAAAAAACAGAAAAAACGGTCAAAAAACAGAAAAAACGGTCTAAACGGCCTAAACAGAACGGACATAAACAACATTAAACAGGCTAAACAACTATTTCAACGACTGTTTAGGCGAATACGAGGAAAATCTAGGTCAGTTTTGTATGGATAAATTTGTATACTTAAGTTTATTATATTTATAAATGTGTACATTTGATATGTTACATGCATAAATATCTATATTTGGTTCTTTTCACATGCATAAATATATATACATACCAAAATAATTAATTTTTACTCTGATAAATATATATAAATGCTAGAATACTTGATTTTTTACATGCACATATATAATTATATGTATTTTTTTAAAGTACAAAACCGTTTAGACCATTTAACTTCGTTTAAACACCGTGTAAACAGCCTAAACGCTAAACAAAGGGCGACCGTGTAAAGACTATTTACCCACCCTGTTCGCTGGTTGGTGCTGGTGCTGGTTTTTTATGAGAGAAAAATACTATTGGCTGGTTGAATAAGCTTGGCTGAAATCAACAAGCGAACAGGATGACCGTTTAGGAAAACATTGGCTATAGGCCACTTGATTATTTCTCCGTGGCATTATCTGGGCACAGATATTTATTTATTGGTTTCATTTTTGCCATGTAGGCAGATTGATGGCAATGGAGGGGACCTGTTTTATGCCGTCCTTCGATGCAAGCGGAACTGCCTGCTGCTGTGCTGATCAACAACTCCCTGACCAAATCCGGGCAGCTTGGGACTGCATTGTTTGGTGCTATTTCAAAATACAAGAACATTTCAAGATTCATTTCTCCCATCACAGCCATCTACAAAGAACATAGGTCTATGTTGCAGCTTCAGCTCGTCTTCTGATGGCAATGGATACATGGCTGGGAACTTTAGCGAGAGTGATGAAGATTAGTTAATTCTACTGTGCTAGAAGCAGGTAATTCTTCACACAAGGTTGTCTGCTTTTATATGGAGAATGCCATGCTACATTCAAGTTTTACTTAGGCTTTGTTTATTTGCTACGCTGGACTTAATTTTCTGATGTGATCAGTTGTTTGACTTCTATGTTATGCTCGTTTAGCACAAGTATCTTACTATGTAAATAAAAAATCTGAATGCTTTCATTGCAGTTTGTAGTTTATATTGTAACCGTATTGAAATTTGAAGCCATTTTTTTATTGGTTTGTATTTCAAAACCCACTATTTTTTCTCAAGAGTTGGAAATGACAAATGTATTTGAGCTAGATTTGGAATTCTCATATTTGGATATGGCAAGGACTCAGTTCGTTCGGATATGGCCTATCCGATTCTTTATTTGGTGTCCTTTCTAGATGCGGCAGATACCAAACCAATAGAACAACAATTTTGGAAAGAACAATTGGAGCAGTCAGTCAAACACAAATATTTTACCACCCAGATTTAACATGGTGATTCAGCTAACTAAAAAAAAACAGCCTGACAATTGATGATTCCTATATTGCTAATGGTCTACAACTATTCAATGGGAGTACATCATTTTGTTTAACTACTCTGTATCAGCCATCTCGAATATCACTAAGGCACTGGTCACCACTCACCAGTATTTGATATCTAAAACTATTGCCTTTCATACTGCAAATGGAAGGCACAAGCAGGGAACATTTGTGTTAGGTCATTCTTTTTTTAAGACCACAAGACATGTCATTCAACTGCAAGTGCAGTGAGTTATATTAGGATGTACTACCTCTGTCCCAAAATATATGACAATTGTCTAGACTGTAGATTCATAGTTAAAGTGTCATCTATTTTGAGACGGAGCGAGTAACTTAGTTGTCTGGTAGCTTGCACTTGAGTTAAAACTATACTTTGCAAGTATCATGAGGGCATGTTTCAAAAATCTGACATGTCATTGTTTCTGAATTACAGGCTACTCCCAGAGCTGGAGGATGATCATGCAGTTTCTTTGCACCCATACAACTTCCACGAAGCAGTGAGGTCATGGGATCGTGCGACTAGGAGGTCATATAGTGTGGAGGGGATGATCAAGGAGCAGAGCTTGTTTACGAGGGGGTGGTCGAGCATGGGATGATGCTTTGATGGTGTTGAAAACTTTAGACATGTAGAGGTTCACTGGAACTGGATGGTGCTCGAGAGGTAGTAAACCTAACAGCCATCAACCTCAATGAAGAGTTGATGCTTTTTTTGCCAAGCAAATTTAAAAAACTGTGTTATAAGGTGGACAAAACTTGATTTTGTGGTTTCATGAGAAGATAGTTTTCCTTGTGATATGGTTTGAAGTTTACCCCGAAAATTTTCCCCTGAAATGGCATTATTTACTCTACTTGTGCGTTTATTTCCATGTGTATTAACATTTGCTTCTATTTTCATTGTAATCCATTTATTTGAACAATATTTAAGGTGAGGGCACGGTTATAGTTTTTAGTAGCTTTGCAATATTGTCCGAAACTATGAGATGATTGATGGCTTGCAATGATCCTTTCATTAATTTATTTTTCTATGTTTAATTGTTTATTTAGTCTGTTTTATAGGCACGCTGGTAGATAATGGATGACAAAATTCAAGCATCCATAATTTATCTCTTTGACTTTAAGCATGAGTTTTGTTTTGTTTTTTAATTGATATATTGTCCTTTTGTTTTTACCATAGCGTTAGCACGGGCATGCACAAAAAACGAAGATGTCTTTACACTGCAGAAATCTTTTAAGAAGAACATGCATAGATTATTCTTGTATTAAATATTATATATATACAATCACCTAAATATTCTAATTAAACTACAAAATTTTGAATTAGGATACGAGGTAAGACATGCAAATAGATATTTTAAAACTACCTGTAGAGTCCAAATAACTTAATAAATAAATCCTTCTGGAGGCTATACAAATTCTCTCTAATCTTTCATTTGGTGTAGTTAGTGTTATCATAGTACCTGCATGTATTCATGGAAAATAAATCGTATTATTAGGGTAGTACAAGGCTTCCTCCAAAGATCAGGCAACTCCTTCAACCCTAAAAATTATATCAATTGATCGCTGAAGAGAACGATGTAAGGTAGAGATGTCAATATCCTTAAAGCAGATCACATAAAAGATGAGAGTCCATCTATGAGATTGCTCACAAAGACTCAAACTTATATCTGATCATGGTAATGTTGAATTGCTTTGCATCAAAAGCATCGGCAATAATAAACGGGGACATAGGTTTTAGTATGCATAGTGGAGGAAAACTCAACCTTGACTTTCTCAGCAGCTTTTCCGAGCCTTTGCAGTGCTAACTTGTCCTTACTCAGATAGTCAAAAGGTGCATCATAGAATTATGCACCACTAATAAAAGTGTCACCATTGGTTGCCTTGATCTGAAAAATGTATCGAAATTAAGAATTATGACACCTAATTCAACATCTTAGAACAGATAATCAAGTGGATATCATATTCTACAATATATCAGCCTGTTCGTTTCGGCTTATTCGCTCGTATCTGGCTTATAATCTATGGCTTGAACAATATTTTTCTCTCACACCAAACCAGCCAGTAGTACTTTCAGTCATGGCTTATAAGCCAATTCAGCCGAAACGAACAGGTTGTATGTCTGTGTGGAATAGTCCTAAACCCACACATATTTATACGGTGAGTATAACATACTTTGTTTTAAGATTTTGTGAGAGATTTTTTAAGGCACGCAGTATTATCCATGTGACAAGCACTAATATTTACATATATACTCGAACATGTGTGTACAGGATTATATGGAGATACAACGGAACTTATTCATGGATTTATTGGCGCACGAAAGAAATGGATATCGGAGAATTCTTTCTGCCGATATAAAATATTATCTTAGCCGTATCGTGGAAAAGTCTATCCAGTAGAGTTTGTGAGCCTGCGACGTCGCGCTCTCCATGACTTTGTTAATTTCACGAATTTCGTTTTTTAATTAAATATCACTTTAATATTGGTATTTAATTTCACAGTATTATTATTTTATCGTGCGATCCGTGTGTTTTTAGTATAAAAGTTTTGTTGTTCCATAGCAACGCACGGACACTCTACCTAATATATGTATAAGTTAAACATGTCAGCAAAGGCTATAAACAAACAAGCTCTGCATAACACTTTCCTGCATTGCACATGATATCTAGATCCATCTGTGCACACAACCACACACTTCATTCATTCATACAATGACGACACAAATTAAATGGTACTTCTATCAGCAGAAAGTCACACATGTACAAACTGAACTAATTTATATATGACAAGCATTGGTCGATCGATATGCAGAATTGTGTTCCTGGCTAACAAAGAGACCACGATCAACCGGTCCAATTTTTAACCATGCAGTATCTTGAAAAGCTCTCGGAAATACTAAACTAGGACAAGTCCTGATTTCACTGCATTAAAAAAACATTAGGGAATATTCTGCAATTATGAAGAAATGAGCTAGCTCAGCTCCCACATGCAAAACCCCCCACTACTATTACTAATCTTTCACAAAACCATTTCCTAACTGCCCCACTTCCCCATTTTCCTCTTTATAGTCCTCCTCCCACCATCACCACCACCGCCTCTCTCTAGACCTCAACAATACCACCACCACCATTAGTGTTCTTGAGAGAGAGAGAGAGACGGGAGTGGAGAGCAGAGATGAGAGAGAGATTGAGCATGCAACAGGCTCTTCTCCCATCTTTGTCTCTCTCTCCACTACTCAGAGTCACAGGCAAGAGAGCGAGCATGATGTGGTCGCATGAGCCGGCCGCAGCGGAGCAGGAGGCTGCGGCGGCTCGGCAGCGGAGCTCTGTGGCCAAGCTGACGACGGCGTCCTCGTCCTTGGCGAACCTCCTCTCGGTCTTCGTCGGGTCGAATAACAACAACTCCCCGGCGGACCCGAGGTCGCCGCCGAGGCGGAGCTTCGACGAGGGCGGCGGCGTCGGGCTGGGCATCGTCGCGGCCATGAGCCACGCCTGCCTGACCGGGGCCGACGCCGAGCCCATCGCCATCGGCGCCGCGGCTAGGCGGCGCGCGCGCGAGGACGACGAGAGCTACACGTGCGTCATCACGCACGTGGCCGGCGATGGCGGCGGCAGCGTCCGGAAGCGGGTCTACTTTGGCTTCGCCGACGGTGGTGGCTGGCTCGTGGAAGCCGACGACGAGGCGCCGGCGCCGGCGCCCGACTTCCTGAGCCGGTGCTGCCTCTGTGACAAGAGGCTTGATGGGCTCGATATCTACATGTACAGGTGTGTGTGCACCGTTTTCGTTCATTTAATTTCTTATTATTAATTTATTATATACTTAGAGAAGAGCTTTTCTCAGAAACTCAGAGTAATTTAGCACTCATAGTATGGTGCGCTTACTAGAACTCATTATTTGCTCAAAATAACTTTAAAATCATGCTTGCCTATTGCTCATGTGAATAACGTGTCATCGACTGCTACGTATTATCTCTCTTCCAAATTACAAGTTAAACTATTTAGGATCTAAATAGTCTTTGCTACACATCTAAATATAACCTAGTATATCTAGGTACACAATAAAAATTATGCACTTAAAAAAAGCTAAATATTTAGAATCTATTTGGCACGGCTCAAGAAGCAGCTTGTGTGGAGGAGCCGTACCAAATGCTGAGGATGAGCCGTTTTCTGATGAACTGGAGCTGAAAAGTGGCTCACCTGAGAAGCCATGCAAAACAAACCTTTACAATATAAAACATAGAGAAGTAGCACCTAATAAGTTAATTATTAATTATTATAGGTGTGAATTTGAAACTACAATAATCAAATACAACTAGAGTCGATTCACGATTTTCGTGCACTTTTATACAATTCATCGTCCTTTCCCTTTTTATCAAAGAGATGCCCAAGTATGGTCTTCCTAGAGGACAAAAGCATAGTTTTGTCTATGTGCTGCAGTAGTATATTATTAGACAGCTACTGCAATACTTCAGGTACGATATGCCAGTACATCTAATAACCTACATCAATAATTAGTAGTATTCCTCAGTGCTCCCATATAATTATCCTGAGAAAAAAATTTTTCTCCAAAGTTTAAACCCAAAGGAACAAGAATATAGGCTTGTATTCATTGAGTGAAACAAAACTCTCAGGGCTCGTTTGGTTATGGCAGAACGACCACAACGACGCTAGGATTGATTTCGCCTAATGAAAGCTTGTATAAATTAAGTAACAAGTCGTGTATAGCAATGACACCACGAGCACTAGTGGCATGTGCCAGTAGCACCGCGGCCAAAGCCCCTTCCCTTCCTTTCCCCCGAGCTCTCCCTTGAGCGACTGGGGGCGACACCCCGGCGCCGCTCCGTCCCCCACCATCGTGTCCTCCACGGCCGCCGCCACCGCCCTCTCTGGTGTTCAACGGCAGCGGCCAGCGGTGGCCTCGTCGCGGCACCACCACCTTCTCCCCCCTCCCCACCTCCTCCCTTCTCCTACCTCCTCTCCTCCACCTCCCCTCCTCTACCTCTGCTTCTCCAGCGAGTAGGTAGGCGGGCGGGGTAGATCCGGCCTCCTCCTCCCGGATCTGGCGGCGGCAGCAGGGTGTGTGTGGCTGCTGCTACTCGATAGGCTGGCCGGCCGGCGGCGCGAGGCTGGTTCGCTGTCAGACGCTGGCGCTATGGCGGGCCTCGCCACGCTGTTGAAGCACGTGGCTGGGCGCGCTCATGGCACTTCCGCATGTGGTTGCGTGCGCCGCGGGGTGGGGCTCCGTCGCGTCTGCGCCTTGGCACTACCACGTTGAGCCCCCCCTCTGGTGGTCGCCCGGATCTGGCTTTTCGGGGGGCGCCCTGCCCTTCACCTCGACGACGGCGGCCGGCGACGCCATCCGGGCGGCCAGAGGCGGTGCCGGTGACAGCGGCGGTCGGATTTGGCTATCCTGCGGTGGTGGAGTGGGCGCGCGCCGATGGTGTCTTGCGGCATGGCAACCGCGGTTGCCTGCGGCCGGTTCTTCTCGCCGGGCCGTTTAGGCTGCGCGCCGGCAGCGGTGCCTATCTGCTGGTACGCTATTGCCTGCCTCAATATGCTTGACGACGGGGCCTGCGGCCTCCTGGGTCGCTCGCCAGTATCATTGGTGCTGGACTTGCCCCTGCCTTCGTGATATGTTCTGTGCCGGGTCGGCCCGCTACTTTGCTAGGATCGCCCTAGCGGCCATGTTCGAACAAACTCTTGGGTGAAAACTCTGCCCCGCTTCTCGCTTTGGGCGGCGGCGATGGTACAGTCTGTGCCATCCAACTTCTTAAAGGTGTTCGTCGAAAGATGTGTTCGTAATGAGGGTCGTTGGGGCGGTCCTGAGACGAAAGTCCTTGTTGTGCTCTATGTTCAACGTTGTTGATGTCTGAGGATGTCATTCCTTCTTATAGGCTTCGTTGGAGCACTTCTGCCGCCGTCCTGTTCCTCTCGCTGGAGTCGCTCCTAGTTGTGTTGTGCCTACCTATGCTTTAGCTTCCTCTTTGCGTTGATCTGTCCACCTTAGATGTTGGTGTTGCTACAGTCGTCTCGACGGATGCTTTGCTGTCGTTAGTCATCTTCTTCGCAGCGGCTACCTGGCCGCTTGCGGATACTCAACGGATGTTTTGCCGTCGTTGCTGCCTGGGCAGATGCTTTGCCGCCATAGTCGCTACCAGCCCGCGGATGCTTTGCCACGTTGTGCTCGTGGATTTTGCCACGTTCTTTCCGGTGGATGCTTTGCCACTGAGGCTTCACCTCCCTTGTTGGCAGCCTTCGCGTTATTATCTTTAGCTGCAGGTCCAGCTAGCTAGGTTGTAGTGGAGGGCCCTTCCCTGCCGCACTTCTATTTTCACTTGTGTTTTTCGTTCTAAACCACTCGCTCTGTGGTTTTTTTTATCCTACGCTATGGGTTCTCCCATAGTCGCGTCGTGTACGCCGATTTTTTCGCACTCTTGCTTCTTTTTAATGAAATTCACGTGAATGCGTGTTCCAAAAGAAAAAATAAATTAAGCAGGCCAGAATTTCTTCAAGGTGTCTTCTAGGGTCGTTCCGGGGAAAGCGAACGGAGCCTCATTCTACTATCTCAACTATCGAGACTTTATCATACTCATACTAACAAGCAGCTGAAAAGATCAATTCCTTAAATACTGATTACCTGTTTATTATCCTTGGCCTCAAATTGCAGAGGGGAGAAAGCCTTCTGCAGCTCCGAGTGCCGATGCCAGCAGATGCTAATGGACGACCGCGCTGACAAGTGTGGATCCGAAGCTTTCATCAGGTCCGGCGGCGACTACTCGTACTCGGTGTCGCCGCACTCTGCCCCGATGGCCTTCTCACCGAGCGTCGCAGCAGCCTAGTACATGATCGACTACTCAGCCCTCAAGCTGCTCCACTATGAGCAAGGAGTCTAGCTAGAAGAGACTAAAGTCTAAATGGGCCGTTTAAACAAATGGATCATATATAGAGTAATTTATAAAATGCTTCTTAATTGTGACATGAATAAAAGACAGGACGAAAGTTTTGAGACTCATCAAGATGTTAAACACTTTAGCGTGCTTGAATTTTATTTTATTTTTGTTCTTGTTGGAACTGATAGAAGACTTTCGATCACACACAAAGGGCTTAGATAGTCCGAGGCCGCACACAGCAAGGCCAACCAGTAATCTGGGTTTTGGCGCTCGTTTTTCACCTAAAACACCTATGAACAACTCCTAGTAAGACGTGTCGGGGAGAAGCACACAAGGGTGTCTTAAGATTGGCAAGGCAACCTAAAACGCCAACAAATCTGGTAGAGAGGTGTTAAACAACAAAAGGTTGAAAGAGCTTGAGGTAGGAGAAGGGTAGTAGTAGATTGTTTTTGTCGGAACGATTGTGTATGATTAACTCAATCAGCCGTGATTCTCTAATATACATAGACATGGTGAGCTTATCCTAGTAGGAAACATATTTCACATGACACTACAAGTTTCCTACGAGATCGGACGAGTTCCCATTGAATTAGGGTTGAAATTGACTTGGATAGCCAAAACCGGCTCGGACCAGTTTTTCCAACCACCAGTAACAACCCTGCCAAACCTGCCTAGGCCGGTTTCTTTAGCCCATGCACAGTGCCCAGTACAGACCGGCTTGGGCTGGTTTTTCTAGGATTTGATTTCTTTGTTTATCTTTGACCGCCCCGATCTCATATTGTCAACGTATGCCCTTCTATTTTTAATCCAAGCATATGTGAGTTTAAAAACATATGAAAACAATAGCAACGATGTTAAGTTCATCAACTATTTTTCTCCTAAGGGCGATATATGTATATCGACCATTGTTTGGACAATACTTAGACTTATTGTCAAACACTTTGGAAATCTTTTTTAAAATACCTCCAGTTGGTTGCTCTTGAAAGACGATCACCTTGCAATGTCTCTAGCATATAAGAATTCCCAAATACTACTTTGATCACTTTATATGGACCTTCCTAATTTGGAGACCACTTGTCAAACTTATTGCTCTTCTCCCAAATGGTAGAACGGTCTTCCACACCGAATCCCTAACTTGAAATGATTTGCTTTTAACTTTCTTGTTGTAAGCTTGGGCAACACGAGCTTTGTCCCTCTCAATATCCTTTATGGTCTGTTTGGATGTAGATATTGAAGATGTTGGCATTGAATTGGTACCAATACCAAATCAGCCTTGTATTGGAAATGACTCACAATACCAAATCTATTGTTTGGATGTACATAGAATTGACCCATCTCCTCCTCCTCTCCACCGCACCACCCTGACACTCCTGTAGGAGCACCTGCCGGACCTGGGGAAGAAGGAGAGTGAAGCATCGGGGGCGGCGACCTTGACCGGCAGGCACCTGCCGAACTTGGGGAAGAAGGAGAGGGAGGCATCGGGGGCGGCGACCTTGACCGGCGGGCACCTGCTGGACCTAGGGAAGAAGGAGAGGGAGGCATCGGGGGCGGTGACCTTGACCGGCGGGCACTTGCCGTACCTAGGGAAGAAGGAGAGGGAGGCGTGCAGGCGGAGCAGGCAACGTCGGCGTGTGGAGCGGTGGCCGTGCGAGCAAGCGGATGGAGGTGCGCCGACACGTGGAGCGAGCGAACGAGGTGTGCCGTGCGAGCGAGTGGAGGGAGAAGAAGAGGTGCGCCGGCCTGAAGCGAGCGGGCGGAGGGAGGTGTGCCATGTGATCGAGCGAAGGGAGAAGAAGAGGGTCGCGGCTCTGATTCCCCCAATACGGAGGGTCGCTGCTCCATATTGCGGGTGAGGGGGCGCGGTTGTAGCGAATACCCCTTGGCATTGAAGTTTATTTCCAATTCCAAAGTCTAGGCCATCCAAATAACGGCATTTGGTGCTATTCAATGCCAATTCCAATTCCTAAGCCCCAATGTCTACATCCAAACGCAGCCTTAGGGCTTTAATTCTTTAATCAGCCACCTCATCGAGCTCATGATACATGGCAGAAAATAGACCATTTTGTTTAGCTAACCTATATGCACCAACTTCACCTCGCCATGCAACGCAACTTCCTGTCCATAGGAGTAACTTTAGTAGTACTATGTCTAGATATATGATGAGCCCATAAAGCTTCAGACAAAACCTCATGCCATCTTCTAGGATTGTCCTTAGTATTTTCCTTGACAAGCTTGATCAAAGTCTTATTGCTTAATTCAGCCTAGCCATTAGCTTGATCTTATATGATTCTTCAAACTCTCGCACTTCTTTTGACACAAAAGACATTCCTTGACCCAAGGTTAAAATTTGAGGGACACCGAACCTATGAATAATATGGTTAGTGATGAACTCAATTACTTTCTTGTGTGTCATGTTCTTCAAAGGTACAAGTTCGGTCAACTTTGTAAAATAATTCATGGCAACAAACACGAAGCGATGCTCCCTCCTTTGAAGCAAGAACTGTTAATGGATAGTATAAAGCATCAGAGCTCCAAGTTCAAGGATTACAGAGCGCCTTTTGTTCTTCTACTACGCTCTCCTGGATTTGTCAAGCAGGGATCTTGTAAGGAACATATATAGACCATAAAAAGGCCTAGTAGTGATTTTGGTGGTGGAATGCCAACATAGCCTTTAGGACTAACATTGTTTTCTACTATACAAGGTATTTAGTCCTAGGGATGCAAAGATGGACTTGAGCTAGGTTAAGGTGAAGATCAAGCAATCAACACCTCAAAGGAAGATGAAAGAGAAGCATGGAAGATCCTAGAAGATAAACAAGAAGCTTAGGACATCAAGAAGAAGACGTCTAGACAAAAGGCGCGAAGAAACAACACCCAAGCAGCACCGGATAAAGCGGGCTCACCTTCACCGTAGTTACGAGATTCGTAATAAGACAATGTACCTTACTATTGTTGAGGGAGCTCAGTCACTTTGCTTGTAGAAAATAAGTGAAGGTGCATTTGCTGCTCCTTAAACGTTGACTAGAAGCAAGAACATTTAATGAATATAAAGCACCAAAGCTCCACCAAGTTCAAGAATTATAGGGCACCTTTGGTTCTTCTACCATGTTTTCTTGGACTTGCTGAGCAAGGATCGCCTTAAGCTGTTGAATGAGTTTGATTGGCTTGCTAGCTGTCTCAGTTCTCATGTAGGCAAGGTTTCCAACAAATTTTCACGCTACACATAGTTAGCTAGATCTACCCAGCCAACTCTGGCAAGCTTCGATGGGCAAAACAAATCTTGCTTGATAACCAAACGTTCTCTACCACTGCATGCAGTGGGTTTCTACCATGCATGCAGATTCCAGTTTTGAATTATGGGGCTACTTTGCAATTTTGCATGTAGTGGTTTAGAAAAACCCGGGCAGATCGTCCTTGGGTGGATTTAGAGCTGTCTTGCCATGCTAACACTTTGGCTTTAGTCTCCATTGCCATGACATCTCAAGTGGGTAATGGGAACAACACTTTGTTTTGGACAAATCGTTGGCTTCATGGGTGTTCTATTGGTGATTTGGCACCTACAATTGTAGCAAGTGTGCGCCCCATCTTAAAAACAAGCGCATTGCAGCTCGAGCCTTAGAGAATAATACCTGGATGAATGATATCCAGGGGGCCTAACTATGATTGGTTTCATGGAGTTCTTCAGGTTATTTGATTGTCTTAGTGAGGTTAGGTTGTCTGAAGGGGGGATCAACATGTTCGAAATTTGATGCTTCAAGAGATTACACAACTAAATCGGCATACAAAGCGTATTTCGATGGTTAGTGACTTTTGAACCTTGGCGCCAAATCTGGAAATCATGGACCCCAGGAAAGTGTAAGTTTTTTATCTGGCTTGTTGTTCTGGACAACAGATCGCCTTGCTCGCGGAGGATTGTCACACCCATAGAGGTGTCATTTGTGTGATCAAAAGGAGGAGACAGTTCAACATTTGCTTACTGGTTGTTTGTTCACACGAGAAGTTTGGTTCAGTATTTTGTCGCCTTTGGGTTTGGGAGGTGCAGCTCCTGGACACAATGATCTATGTTTTGTTGTTTGGTGGGTTAAGGTATTCTGCATGACCAGTAAGGAGTATAGGAAAGGAGCAAATTCCCTCATCATTCTAACTGTATGGTTGCTTTGGAAGCACCGTAATAGCTGTGTCTTTAATGGAGACTCCCCTTTATTAGCGAGTTTTTTAGACAATTTAGGGATGACTATATGCTCTGGTGCCTAACCGGAGCTAAGAAACTTCAAGCTCTCGGACTAAATAGGGTAGGTGATTTTGGGTGAGTCTTTTCCTTGTTGTTTGGTCGTTAAAAGTCTTTTTCAAATAATTGTGTTGTAAAGTGTCTCCAATGTTCTTATGTATGGTCCTGGGATGAGCTGGTATTGTATACGGGCCATTGTTTCCTCTCTATAATACAATGATATACAGTTCTCCTGCGTATTCGATAAAAAAAAAAGCACGTGTAGTTATGGCGAAAGAGTAGGTTAGATGGTTATTAGTCTAATCTGAAAAAAAAGATCAGTTGTGACTAGTTAGCTTTTTTTTTTGTCTACCATCATGACTTAACTGTTTTCTGCAGGATGATACCTCAAATATTGTTTTTTTTTCGATTAAGAGGTAATACCGAATGCATGTAAGCATGGGATTGATATAAAACAGCTATTATCATGCCAGGAAATAAAAAAAGGAATATAGAACAATTCTCTGTCTTTATTAAAAAGGTATAAGGAAAAATAGTGTTTTTTTAATAAGGAAAATAGTGTTAATTAGTGATACTTGAACACTAAATGTCTGGAATTATGTGGTTCAAGTATGTGAAGCACTGGAACATGGAAAGTTCATGAACAATTCAGCACAGTCAATGAGCCAAAATTGTGCCATCATATCACAAACGGAAATGCTACGTCGTGCGTCCGATGGACCACACAAACGTCGGACGGCTTTTGCACCCCCGCCGCTTGCTCCCAGCCCGCATGTATCTTAAAAAAACTTATCCCCTGCCGCAGCGCACCAACGCCCGGCGTCCTCCCCCACCCCGGCGTCCTCGCCGGGCCCCCCAATGCCCATAGATCTGGCGGCCCTCTCCCCCACTCCGATGAGATCCATGGAGCACGAGCAAGATCCACTCGCCTCCGGCGAGATCCATGGAGGTGGCGCGGCGGTGTTGCAGGGGAGTGGGCGGCTCTCCCCCACCCCAGCGAGTGCCCTCCCCACCCCGGCAACCGAGCTCCCTCATCCTGGCGGCCATGGCGCTCCCCGCACCCCATCCCCCACTGTCGCCGTCGAGCCAAGGCCGGTGCTGTTGGCGCTGGTGGTGGTGGTGTTCGCGCGCCCGCCGGTGCTGGTGCTAGGTGGTGCTCGCGCAGCAGCCCCGCCGGCTCCCACCCCGTCGGCCGGAATTGACTAGCCCGGGCCTCTCTTCCCCTATGTTGCAAATGTATGTTTCAATTATTTCAGACGTTTCAGAGACATGTTATAATTGTTTCATATGGATGTTGGAAAAGTAGATCGGGGGATGTTGCATATGTTGTAAGTGTTTCAGAGGCATGTTGCAAATGTTTGTTCAAACTGTTCCCATCTGTTTCTAGACATATGTTGCATGTGTTTTGATCTGGATGTTGCATATGTTTTTACACATATGTTGCAACAGTATGTTCCAAAATATTTCATCTGTTTCAGTCTTATGTTGCAGCAATTGTTTTCATGTTGCAAGTGTTCTATTTGGATATTGCATATGTTTTTACACATATGTTGCAAGTGTATATTCCAGATGTTTCATCTGTTTCAGACGTATGTTGCATTCAAGTGTTTCATGTTGCAAGTGTTTCCTACTGTCCGGAGAGTCAAGGGGCGCCAGAGAATGGGACGCGGCGAGCCGGTGGCTGGCGGACGTGGCGTGCGGTGCGCTGGGGGCCGACAGTTGGGGGGGCACGACAGGGCAGGGGGCGGGGTGCGCCTACGGGGGCGGGGCAAACGGATGGGGATGGGGGCAGGTCAGGTGTTGGGGCGGGCTTGTCAGGCGTGCGGGCTGGTGTCCGATGGAATTCATCTCCACCGGATGTCGTGCGCTAGCATTTTCCTATCACAAATTGATTGCAACTTAAGAGTTACCGTGCCGGAAGGATTCTGTGATAACCATTCATAGCCGAATACAGCACAAAATGATATATGCAAACTACTCATTCAATTAAACTAGCATATATATCCTGGCCCTCATACAGAGTATATGCTAGTGTGGAACATGGTGTCGAGCATTCCAGAGAACAAATTCCATATCCAGCCAAAAGAATGAAATCTAATAAACCAGTCTTTGCCAACGGAAAATAAGCACACGTCTGAAAATCAAGGCAAAAGGAGGTGGTTGATACTTGATAGATTCTTCCTTTTGATCGCAGTGACCAGTGAGGACATGTTGCAGGATGTGGAAGCCCTTGTCATGCAAGGCGATCAGCCATCCAGGTCCAACATCTAACATGGATGACCAGCCACGAAAAGAATTAGCATTTAATTACCTGGAATATATTATGCTAGATATTTTGTGTGGCTTAAGGAAAAGAGAAAGGTAAAAGTTTTCAAGGAAAAATCAATCGCTGGTATCATACTACATATCCACCAGAGCAAACCAAATATCTGCTCTGAATTGGATTGGCATAAACAGGAGTTCAAATACCCATTTATAGGACTACATATGTATAGTTACTAAGATGAAAGTTCATTGATGCTTAAGTGAACATATATGCTCTGAAGATGGGAGAGGAAAGAGTTTATTTCATACGAGCCTAAAGCTGAGCACAAAATGAGGAAACATTTAACATCTTCGAAGTGAGGTTCTGACTCTTCATTGTACAATTGTTACTAGGGTGTAAAGTTCAGCTTGTGAATAGTTTCAGAAATGAAGTTGAGAATCAGTTCCTTATCACTTCACCTTATGATACCTTCTGATAAGCAATCTGAATCTGTGAAGCAGTCAAGATTCTTCAGTCACTATGGCCCACATCAGATCACAACAACTTGTTCATTTTTATCGTTTTCCCAATAGAGAATACATGTACGAAAACATCACAGGTGCACATTAAGGGAGAATATTGTCTCTCTATATAAATTATAAATGCATGCTCATCAGTACAGCTCTTCAAGCCAAGGGTGCACAGAAAACATTCTATTTCAGTGCTTAGATCCATACAAGAACTAAAAAGATGGTTCATAGCCCTGTGGCATTCCTAAGAAAGCTCCAAATTTCCTCTTCATCTGTAGCCACCAAGTTGATTTCTTTTAGCAAATATGCACAAAAATCCATGAAATACTCTTGGCAGTTCATCTGTCAAAATAATCCAAATACTCTTCATCCAAGTCACTTATTTTACCTTGATTTGATTTGCTGGATATGCAGCTCTTAAGATCATCAAGCCACGAGATAAACAAGATGCTCTGAAAGACATAGACTTATTGTTTACTTCTGTATCTGCATCAACTGTCTCTAGCATGGCTACTGTTGAAATGGAGGATTTCTCAAGTGCTCAGCTCTGCATATTGACTATTTTAATGCTGATTGGTGGAGAGGTATTCATTTCAATGCTTGATCTTTATTTCATGCGGGCTAAATCTGTTACAAAAGGGTCTTCCAACAGAAAGGGCTACTCAGTTTATCACCCTGTTGATAAGCCATGACTCAAAGTCTACTACTGATAAGCCATGACTTATAAAATCTGTTCCCATGTTGATACCGAATCTACTACTTCTGCAACGTCTGTTCCCACCAGTGTAATAATGCCAGTGTCTGAACTCCGCTTGGAAGAAAAAAATCAAGTTGAGCCCAAGACAATTGAATCTTTAGGTTATGCACTGCTGGTCTATCTTCTAGTGTTAAATTTAGGCGGCTCCCTGGTTATCTTCCTTTACCTTATATCCGTACCAGATGCACAAGTAGTTCTGAAGACAAAGGGTATTGGATTTGTCATTTTCTCTGTATTTTCAGCCGTCTCCTCAGTGGCAAATTGTGGCTTCACTCCAGTAAACGAGAACATGATCATCTTTCATTCTCCTATTGCTAATTATTCCTCAGATACTAGCTGGAATTACATTATTTGCCCCATGCTTGAGATTCCTGGTGTGGTCACTTAAGAAGGTAACTGGACAAGATGAATATCATTTCATTCTTCAGCACCCGGAGACCATTGGATATAAGCATCTTATGAGTAGCAAGGAGTGTGTTTATTTGATGTCAACTGTTTTCAGCTTCATAATTACACAAACCATACTATTTTGCTCTCTAGAATGGAGCTCAGAGGCTTTACGGGAAATGAACAGCTATGAGAAGATAATAGGTGCTCTCTTCCAGTCTACTAATGCAAGGCATGCTGGCGAATATGTAGTTGATCTGTCAAGCCTTTCTTCCGCAATCCTAGTCTTGTACACTGTAATGATGTAAGTCTCTTCACTACTCTCACTCCACCAAAAGAGTCATAAGATTTTTTAGAATGAAAATAGTCATAATTAAGAAGGGCGGGCCTGTTGCAAGCGGTAGAGTCTTACCGCCTGTGACCGGAAGGTCCCGGGTTCGAGTCGCAGTCTCCTCGCATTGCACAGGCGAGGGAAAGGCTTGCCATTGACACCCTTCCCCAAACCCCGTACAGAGCGGGAGCTCTCTACACTGGGTACGCCCTTTTAAAATAGTCATAATTAAAAAATCCATAGATTGACTACCTCCACCAGAAAAATATTTAGTACAAATGACAGGCTTTGGAGCAAAAATCATCCTTGCTTTGCTTGCGTATACAAGTAGCAATGTAGCATAGTAAAGTTGTGTGTTTGTGATTCTTACTGACTATGTTCACGGATTACAAAACAAACTATATTTGTATTTAACTAAAACATATATCTCATGACTAGTATAGTGATAATAGAGTATGACTGTAACCTATCTGCCTATGGACACACCAGATAGCAAATAGTATTATTCAGAGACATTAAACTATTGTTATGATGAATACATTTTTTGCGAGGATTGTTATGGTGAATACTTATTCATTTTTTCCACCAACTCACTGTAGGTATCTCCCTGGTGAGACTTCGTTTTTCCCCAAAAGATGATGAGCAGCACTCTAGAGCTGAGATAAAAGACAAAAGGAAAAGACTATTAGAGAATTGGATCTTCTCCCAGCTGTCTTAAATCCAGCTTGGATCTTCTCCCAGCTGTCTTTCAGCCAAGTTTCAGCGAGCCGAACGGGACCTTATTTAGCTATCTTTGTAATGCTAATTTGCATTACTGAGAGGGAAGCGATGATCACAGATCTGCTCAATTTCAATGTATTCAGCATATTGTTTGAAGTTGTCAGGCAAGTCTCCAAAATCAAATGTAATAGTCTTCAGATTGCGCTCGTGATAATCGTCACTAACTTCTGGTTCTGGTGACAAATTGTTGCATGCAGCGCATATGGGAATGTGGGTTTCTCTGTTGGTTACAGTTGCAAGAGGCTACTGAATCATGATGTCTACTGCAAGGATGCTTCGTATGGATTTGTTGGAAAATGGAGTGACAAGGGGAAAGTAATTCTGATTATGGTCATGGTTTTTGGGAGGCTTAAAGCGTTCAATATGTGTTAGCTGCTCGTGCGATCGTGGATTATAATCGTTTTGGGAGGCTTATAATTGCTGAGCAGTAAGCGTTCAATATGAAAGGCGGAGGAGCTTGGAGGCTTAGATAGTCTCAATCATTGAACGCTTTAAGCCTCCAAGCTCCTATTCCTGTCATATTGATCGACACCACTCCATGTTATGTGGTGACTGGTGAGCCAGGTACACATAAAACAGCGACCCTAGCATAGCATAAGCTGATGATAAAGATGACAGGTGCTTTTCAGCACTGTCGCTCTGCCTTCCCCAAATGCTATTCCCCCTTCGTGGTGTAGTACCAATGTCAATATCCAAGACAATAACACTACAACAAGAGGCGTATGCTAAACATCTGATCTGGAGTAGATCGATGCAGATCGATAAATATATTCTATCTCCATGGTCCATGCCTCAGGCCGGTTGATACGTTCTCCACTCAAAATATACTCCCACTCTCATTGAAAGAATTAATTTGTAGACCAAAAGTTTATCTCCAAAAGAATCGATTCTTAGAGATGAACAGTCCACCAATCCACATTAATCTCTCTCGTAGCCTAAGTTGTATTTAACACAACCTCTCTATCCTGCGCTGCTGTTGGATACTCCAAACGACACTACTTAATTAGGCTTCTCGATAACTAGAGAGCTATTAAGTTTCAACAGTTTAATGAGGGGCAGCATAGTCTTTTATCTTCTTTGCTAATCTGTCCTAGAGTTGTTAGGAATTCATTCTTTCAGGGATAGAGGGAGTATATGCGTATCACCAATCACCATGGTTGTCAATTACGACGCTCAAGCATCACAACACATTTTCCACGAAATGGGGGGATAGAGGAGAAACAATTTCTGTGCATATAGGGGAAAAATCGACGACTATCTCAATTCTCAAAACAACCAACACCGTTTACCATTACATGGGACTGCTAGTGTCAGGCATCATACTAAGATTAGATAAGCTAGATCAACGTGCACGATTAGCTCCCGCGCAGAAAACCTAGGTAGCGTATTCCGATCCCAGCAATCATAGAAACGAGATGATTAGATGCAACTCAAACCAAACGAGTTCACGGAACTTTCCACATACATTTCGCGAGGCGGACGCCGCGGAGAACTCGCCTTGCTTTCGGTAAGCGTCGAGGAAGTCGAAGATCGCCATGCACGGAGCGGGGGAGGGAGAGGCGGAGGTCGGATGGGCGGACCATGCGTCGTCGTCGCCGCCCCTGCCCAAAAGGGTTTTTTAGGGGGGGAGCGAAAAGTTTTTTTTAGTTTTTTTTCAGTGAGAAAAGTTTTTTTTAGTGGGAAACGCCGCCCGTACTGCTTGGTTTGCTTGGGCTGATGGGCTTCTCCAAGCGATGGGCTTTCCCTTCATTCAGGCCCGTTTTCCGTGCCATCTCCTGTCTCGCTCGCTGCTGACCTGCCATTGCCCATTTGGCAATCCGGTTTCCGATCCATCGGGCTCCTGCAGCCTGCTGAAAAGATACCGCAGAAGCTTGCGAGGAACACCGCGGTACGAGAATCGGCAGTGAATCTGGACTGTTCCGTCGCAAACCGATGGCCCCTACTTAATAAGTCGGCTTATCAACTATGCTATAGTGTTTTTCTCTGCTAATAAATTAGTCATACAAATCAGCATAAACGGCTTATACACCGCCGAACCGAACACGCCCTCGCCAATGGTACTCCGTACATGTCAAAGAGTCCAAACCAAGGATGGGCAAAGCGTAAAGCCGCTGGCGCGTCCTGCTAGCCGAGTTGGATCCGGTCTCCTGCGTCAAGTCATTGCCACGCATGGCCGCCGTGGTGCAGGAGCGAACGAAACTTAACGAATAAACAACGGGAGTTCCGCCGAGGCGGCGAGGTTAGTGGGGCGTGCGGCGCGGGGGAGGGAGACAGCGCGCGCAAGCGGACAGCCGCCGCCAACTCGGCCAAGCGCGTCACCTGACTCGGACGTCCCCTCCCGTCGCAGGGGCCACCGGCCACGGCCGTCCCGCCGGATCGTCTGCGCGACTGCGCCCACCAGTCACGGTCGCACGCAGGACGTGCAACACCGCGGCGTGCGGCGGCGGCCACTGGGGCTGCAACACGCGTGCGCCGCAGCGGGAGGCCCTCGCGCCGCGTGCCGCAGAGGATCACGACACGCTGACGCGGACAGGGCTTTCCGTCTCCTTTCCGTTGGTGGCAGGCCACGCGCCGGTGAGGCACGTCCGACCCCGGTCCCCTCCGCCCACCGACGCGTCTGCCCCACGTCTTCGCTGGGCCCACGAGTCGGTGGGATGAGCGGTGCAAGGTCCAGTAGCGAGAGGGGCGACGCTGACGTGTTGGCCGCTGGGTCCCCGGCGCGGGCCGGAAGGTCGGTGCGGATCCGAATCAGCTGCCATTACTGGGAGCGCCGAGTTGCCCGAAATGCCCTTGCGGGGACGGTGGTTCTGTTGGTGCGAAACAGTTTTGAGCTCTGGGAACGGCGGCGTCCTGGTCCTACTCGTGCGGTCAAGCTGGGCCACGTCAGCCGCTGGGATGGGCCCCTGGCGACGCGAGGTCGTGAAATGCATGTTCCCGGAAATGGCCCACCATATCTTTGATTCCCTGGATGGATGCTTCTAGAGATGCCTTTCGTGTCTCGCGCTCAGTTTAGGATTCAGTAATCCCTCGATGCGATCTTAAATATATTTTAATATTTTTATAATATTATGATAAACTTTAGAGCAACTCTAGTTTGGGAGCCATCTCATAAATATTTTCTTCATAAAAACCTCTATTTTTTAATCTCTTATATAGTTTATTGTAACTTTTCTTGTCAAAAAGCTTTACGAGAGAACTATCATATATTGAATTTAGAGCGACAAACCTCTTTATTAGTGGAGAGCAAGAAAGGTGTATTTGATAGTGGAAAAGATGAAGAATGATTTATACAGTCTATGGAAGCTTAATCTTTTGATTTGTTTTCTACGTTTTGTAATAAAGAGTTTCTCTTAGAGATGCTCTTAGAAAAATTAGGGCTAAAATTATATCTTTTCTTAAATGAAGGTATAACACGATGGGAAATTACACTTCAGAGGTGTTTATAGGGGTAGGGTTTGCATGCGTGTATTTATAGGGGTAAGTGTGCGTGCGCGTTGTTGTGGGTGTCTGCGTTGTACTGTGTAATTCTAAAAAAAGATTCAAAATCGATCGATTCTAGTCACTTGGAAATTTTCTTTACGAGACTCGTTTTGGTTAATGTAAAGATTGGTGAGGGATAAGTTCACCTAAACCGGAGCTGATTTTATCTACTACATTTTCATATATTTACATAATTTCTCTAAAAGGGTCGATGTGCTAAACTTTCACACCCACCTACTTCGTCTACTCCGATAATCGTGGGTTGTATCGGCACCTTCTACCCTCACCGCTCTGCGCACCACAACCATCGTCGAGACTCTCTCAGCTAGTCCTCAAACATCCACACATCATTGGGGCTCTTTACCAAGTACATTCGGTATCGGAACACGTGTGTGTTCTTTTGTCCACGACGTATTCCTAGGCCTGCCGGACCTAGTAACCCCAATACATGCTTTGTCCTTGACATCTTGATTGCATGAACACTCTCTGCATTAATTGCATTGCTATTTTCTCGTCCACATTCCTCGACGACCCTGACTAGCTTGACCTTAGCATTGTCCCCTTTCACGACAATTGCCTCGATGTATCTCCGTCATTACCATAGAACCTCTTTTGCGCCTACAGCTTCATGTGCGACCGCTTCGACATGTAACACCCTCGGTGTTACACTGTAAATCATTTACTAAAATATGTCATGAGCATCATGTTTATGTGTTAATGCATGTAATAAAGAGTGTAAATCAATTTCCGTAACTCAACGAAAATGCGAAATGAAAGTTAATTCAATAGTCATGTTATATCACTTAAGGTTTAAAACTAATTTTTATTAAGAAAAAATGCTATAGAACATGTATGTGATACTTAAATAAGGTTCAAAGTGCAAACTTTGTAGATAACAATGAAATACTCACGGTCGAAAAATGATATTGCTAGCTAATATTTTCATTAGCTTAAAGATCCCAATTAGAAATCCAATTCAGCTCTAGCACTTAGAAATTTTCAAGTCTGTCGACTGTTAGACATTGCTATGTTTAGCAATTTATCGCGAGAGATTGGGTTAAGCAGTAGGGTAGTATTATGGCTTGTCTTTGTAGCCTAATGGACCCCCTAAGGTGTAGCAAAGTGGGTTTGGGGATTGGAGCAACTGGTTAGGGGTTTCGAACGCTTTAAAACCCGTGCACAGCGCGTTCTCGACCGACTTCCTAGTCTGTGCGCGGTCACCAGGACCGCTGCCCTGACGTCGCGGCGTCGGCGCGTGCACGTGCTGGCCAGCCGCTGTTGCCGTAGGTTGCCCACTCAGGTGCGCCAGCTAGCCGTTAACGCGAGCCACCGTGCCCCACCCCCTACGCCTGGCTGCCGCTACGCTGTGACGCTGCCGCCACCGTCCCATCATCGCGCTGCACGCCTGCTCACAACACCGTGCCTCGCTGCCACTGCACTGCCATGTGCTCCTACACCGCGTCATTGCTGCCTTGCTACTGCGCACATGGGATGCCGCCTTGTGGCGTTGTCGGCCCGCCATTAATGGCGCTGCGACGCGCGGGCCAGAGCCAGCCGTGGCCGTTTGTGCTCGTCGCTTGGGCCTGGCATGTGTACCCCAGTTGCGACGCCCGTGTCCTGTAAAAGAGTGCCAGACACATCATTGCTCATCGCTATTTTCCACCGCTACGCCCTCCCCTACTTCCCATCGTGGTCAGGTCGTGACCCCGGTGAGCCAGAGCGCGGGAGCTTGCCTTAAATCTCACGTGCACGTGTCTCCGCCTTGGCGTCCGTGTGCCAACTGTCCCCACCCCGCCTTTAATTGTGTCACGATGTGCTCCAATTTGGACTTTCCCCTCCACCGTGCCATTAAGGCCAGGACCGGCCGTGGCCGAGGGCAGCCACCCACCGCT